GTGGTTGGCAGTTTCGGTACATACGTCACAGGTGTTATTCTCTAGAAAGGCTGAGGTTTCCCAGTGGAATAGGATTTTAAACTGCTTTTTTTTTTTAAAGATTTTATTGGGGAATTGGGGGAGGGGAACCGCATTGGGGAATCGGGGAAGGGGAACAGAAAAGTTGCTGTCCTTTTGTTCTTCAGTCTAATTGTGGAGGACGTCACTTCACTGGCCCATGTTGGTATTATCATTGTGCTCTTCCCGGGTGAGGCAGATCAGTCGCCAGCTCCTGGACGGCCGCTCACGGTGGCTCTTGGCAGCTCACGCCGGCTGCCGGCGACTCACGCTGGCTGCCAGCCACTCACGCTAGCTTATGGCAGCCCACTGCAGCAGGGGCTGCAGCTTAGGCCGTCACCTGCGACTCATGGCAGCCCAACTCCAGGTCAAGCTGTTGTTCACCACCTTAGCTGTAGATGGTGCAGCATCACTGGCCCTCATGTGGGATCTGAACCGGGGCCCTGCTGCTCAGAGCTTGGCGTCCCAAGTCAACTCTTAACCAACTGGCCCTAAACTGCTTCTTCCTATACATTTTGTGTTTTATATTCAGAGTCTACTGCCAACTAACAGTTTTTCTTCTTCTTCCTTTTTTTTGTTGTTGTTGAAAGTATTGACTCGAAGACAAAGAGGGGCCAAGGACAAGAATGACAGTGGGACAGCTGCCCAGACTTGCCTAGACTTTGATAAGTAAGTAGGTATGCTGTGTTCATGGAGTTCCTTTTGTTTAGTATACCACTGCTTGGATCAAATGAAGTGACTGATTCCTTCTTACCTCTGTTGAGTTTCTTTGGCCTGCCCATCACTTCACTGCTTGGATGCCTGAGTTTCTTATTCCCAATTTATGTCAGTGTAGATGGCCTCTGTGTATCCCTTTTCATTACCCTCAAAAAGTCTTGCTATCCATTCTACTTGCACATTGCTCTTAGCTTTGGATCAGAGTGGATGCGAAAACAGTAAAGCTAAATTTCAACATACCAGTTTCATAAAGCATTTTAGGTTATCGTGATTTAGCAGAACACAGGAAAGCAAGAAAATGTGTCACACTTATACCAAATTAAGGATGTTGAGTTATGTTACCAATGTGCGCAACTTTAATTTTAACACTATCTGCCAAAATAAACTTTATTCCCTATAACTTAATATGTGTGTGTGTGTGTGTATAATAGTTTATTATGTACAGTTAATCCCACTGTTTTGGCTACAATAAAATCAATTTTGAAATTAAAAAAATTTTTTGTTTGAATTTGCATATTGCTGTTTGGTGCCTTAGGGAAGCAGTGAGCTATTTTGCGATATAGTGGTACAGAAGCTGAATTGCAAAAGATTGGGCAACTTAGAAGACTTCCTTGGGTTGTGGGTTGCAGCTTGACTAAGAAAGCACATTCTAGGGGGCCTGGGAGGATCAGGTTTAAGTGCTGCCTCCCGAAAGTAAAGACTTTACCAACAGTACATTAGAGCAGTTAGTCACTAGGCAGAAATGTTTATCTTAGAAACACAGATCTTAGATCCTAAATTTTAGAGTTGCTTTCTGTAATCCAGTTGAGCAGAGCTGATCACTTGCTCCTTTTGGAATCCTGCTATCATGTGGACATTCCTCTAGAACTGTATTCATCTCAGTGTACCGTTGTAATTTTTTTTGTTTCTTTTTGACATTTCTGTTTCCCTGTCTAGGCTGTTAGTTATTTGAAGGCAGAAACTTGCCTTCATTCACGCTTTATTCCCTAGCATCTAATAAAATGTGTCTGAGACAGCAGTAACAATAATAGCTATTTGTTGAGCACCTAATATTGTGTACCAGCCATTGTGCTAGGTGCTTTATTTACTATATAACTCTCAAAATAGAGAAATTATAAGTTATAAGTAATTGGTTAAGATCACGTGGTCAGAACTGGCAAAGCCTACCTGGCTTAAGCTCCTTCCACAGCGCTGCTTCTCTCATGTAGGAGTGGAGTAATAAATGCTTTTTATATTAGTTGATAAACCTTGAAAGTTACACTGGTCTATCTTTTCTCATAAGGCAGAGTTTTGCTTGCATTCTCCCAGACGATTAAGTACTTGAGAAACTTACTGCTTTTATTTTAAAGACCTCCAGAGAAATTCTTCCGTAGAGCTAATCCACATCCCTCTTGCTGCAGTAGTTGAATAGTACCAGCCAGAAAGAGAAGTCTAAGATAGCAAACTTTGGAAAGTTTTCTTCAGCTTCTTAAAATTCAGATGATCTTATGAGTCAAGCAGACATGGCTTCTGACAATTATTAGCTATAGAGCCTTGGAGAGAATAGTATCTTCCTAATAGGGCTAAAGAATTAATTGAGAAATAGTGTTTAAAGGGCCTTCTCACAACAGAGGAAATACTTAATAAATGTTCATTTTCTTCCTTTGTCCCCAACAATTCCATTTTCACCAATGCCCTATAAACCTTACTTCAAGGATACAATTTCCTCTTTCCACAAACTCAACTGTTATAAAAAGATAAGAGATAAAAATAACTATATATATGAAATGATGCAGAAGCCTGTGGCAGAACCACATGCTTTGATAACTTCCTACTTGATGCTACAGGTTGTAGAATTAAGGAAGTCGGCATATGGACAGACTTGATTTACTAATCAGACAAGTTCATCCACCCTGGCAAAGTTGTCATCTTGATTTAATGCTCTTGGTGTTCCCTTTTCTGTCTAAATTTTAATTTCCCTTTGAAAAAACTATTACACTTAATTTCAGATGAGTTTGACAGATATTTTATGTCTAAAGAGCAGCCAGCGTTGTTTGAGATAGTTAAAAAAGCTGATTTCATTACCATCTCACTGCTGCAACAGCAGGGTACAGAGAATCAGCCAGGGAAAACCGCTAATCACTCAGTCCTTTTGATTGGCATCAGGTTAGTTTTATTGGCGGTCCCACTGAGCGAGTCTGCATTGGTTGACATGTCTTCTCAGCAGAATAACTTTGAGACATAAAAACACAATTTGAGACTTATCCAGGAGCCCAGCAGCAAAAGCAAATTCTAAAACTGCTTTTTCTTTCTTCTTTCTGATTGGCTAGGAATGAGAAGTGTTATCTCTGTAAATCCCTGGTCCCATTCGAAGAGTACCAATGTCATGTAGAGTCCTGTCTCCAGCTTGTCAGAGGTCACCGAAGAGATGGGCCCAAAGAGAGTGAGAGAGTATGCTCAGATGTGGAGGCTAAACGGCCGCGGCCGAGGAACCCAAAGGTATGTGTGGAGTGTTACGGAAGGCTACCTGGCCCTCCACAGTTTTGTTCTGGGCTTTTTTCTCCCTTCCCTTCCTCTCTCCTTTTCTTCTGTTTATCTTTTTTTTTTTTTTTTAAAGATTTTT